GTAATAAAAGTAATACAATCTTTGATGTGATGAAATTTTAAATTGTATATTGTTCTTAAAATATTTCAAATTCTGAAAATTACAACTTGTTACATTTTTGAAAACTATTTTTCATAAAATGAATTAATTTAGTAATTAATATATTGTTAAATTACATTGTTTAAACTTACAGTAATAGCTTTTCAGTGGTTTTACGTTGTCCGGTATCCGTTTTTCAAAAATAAAACTGAATAGTCTTTGACTATAAAATAAAAGACCTTGATGTAAAATTAGATTTTTGTGTTTTTAAAATCATATACATAGCAGTTTGTGTGCACATTTCTTGCTTTGGCAAGTATACGAAAAACCTCAAAGCTACAATTTTCCCTAAATGTAGTTTTATTTTGAAAACAAAGGGGGAAGTTGAGTAAGCAGCTAACTCCATGCTAGACCCAAACAGCTGATTAGCATAAAGGCTATGAGGCCAGCAGGGTCTCTGGTTGTCTGCTGCACGCAAACGTCAACATTAGAGCTGAAGTTAAACGATGCGATGAGATTAATGAATCTGGAAATAATCCCGTTTAAGGGCTGTGAGAGATACTAACCAGCGTGCTAACAACTAGTTAGCCCTGTTAGCTCCGCTCACAATAATAATATCAACAGCGGCTGTATTCCGGCACAGTCCCGTCTCTTTAAACGCCAAAAAACTTTAGAATTTAAACAATCCAAATGGAAACAAACCCGCCGAAAAGACGAGACAACAAGAAGTCTCTTCGGGTGAAGGTGATTAGCCTCGGAAACGCCGAGGTCGGAAAGGTATGAGACCCCCTGTTTGTTTTAGCTCAAACCTAAAATAGAGTCTGGTTCATTTTACTTGAGCTTGTTATAAACCACCTGTACTGTACTACTGTGAGTTTATGGCTTATAATGTCATATTTGAAACAATTGCATAAAGGTCGTGAAAGAATTTTTTCTGTAGTCTTTATTCTGTTTTGGATGTCAGTTTTGTTGTTTTTGCGCTCTGGTTTATTTTGTTCACTCTGTCGCCAGACTTCGTTTAAAAACGATTTTAATTACATCTCACCACACGATCTCACAGATTACAGCACCCAGGTAAAATTATTTTCAATATGGTTGCATTAGGTATAATTCGGCGCAGATTTTGGTCATAAAAAGAAAGAATTTATTGTTTTATTACCTTTCATATTTGGAGCATCATGGAGCAGACAGCAACAACTAGCAGGGCACACTTAAACAACGTTTGTTTTATTGTGCTGATACAGCACAATAAAACAAACGTTGTTTGATGTGTGATATTATTGATCAGGCTAGTTTAACCCTGAGAAATCTTTGTTTGGAATTAATGTAAATTTTGACATGAATGTGCTTTTAAAGGGCAGAAGGCTTAAAAAAGTTCAAGTTATTAAGGCGTAACAGCTTATTTTTGAAGCCAAATTTTCCAAAATAGGCTCAGAATTGTAGACTGATGATTATTTGAAACACAGTGTCTGCAAATGGGATTATCCAATTAAAACCTAACAAGACACAAATTATCTAAATAAAAACATTAAAAAATTAATAAATCTCAGTTTGATGGATGGTCTGGCGTGAAAGGCAGTGGAGCTCATCTTTAAATATTGTTTATTCTTCAGAGCTGTATCATCAAGCGTTACTGCGAGAAGAGGTTTGTTCCAAAGTATCTGGCAACCATTGGAATCGACTATGGCGTCACCAAGTGAGTTTACAGACTGCTTCCTGTCACTGTGTGTGTAGTGATGTTTTTTACTGAGCACTAACATGTGTTTTATCTGCCAACAGAGTTCAGGTTCGAGACAGAGAAATCAAGGTGAACATCTTTGATATGGCCGGCCACCCGTTCTTCTATGAAGTGAGTTAAAAACTAGCAATTTATGTTGTTCACATCAGAAGAAATGTATAAAACACATGTATGTTAGAGCGCCACCAAAGATGCTGTGAAAGAGAAATATGAGATAATTCAGATTTACAAGAAAAGAAAACTAGTGAGTAAAATTTACATAAAATTACATAAAATTGCATAAAAGTAAAATGTCTGGAAATTTTATGACAAAAATCCTATTAGATCATATTAAAAAAGACCAATATGCAACAAGAAGATTTCAAATTCTGACTTATTTTCTCTGAATTTCTTTAACGTCAATGGCTGTGACAGACTGTCGTAAAACAAGATATTTTCAAAGGCCAAAAATAAGCCTTCTTGTAATGTTTGCACCCACACAGCAGGCGGCGCTCTGTGAACATGTTTCTTTCTCTATGGTGTTGGTCAGGTGCGTAACGAGTTCTACAAAGACAGCCAGGGCGTGCTGCTCGTGTATGATGTCGGCCTGAGGGAGAGCTTCGATGCCCTCGACAGCTGGCTCGGCGAGATGAAACAAGAAATGGGCTCTCAGGCCAACATGGACAGCATCGTGTTTGTCGTCTGCGCCAACAAGGTCAGACCGAGTGCAGCTTAAAGAGAGAGGAGCTGAAGCAGCTTGATTTAAAACTGAGGATGTGCTGTGGAGATGTATTAAGGCCCTGAATGAGATAAAGAAGGATTATTTTGAACTGTGACTCATACTAAGCTGCTCCAGCACAGTCAGAGAACTAAAAAGTATCTGTTTTGTAAAATGTATTGTTTAAAGTGAGTGGGAAATCTTTTATTGAGGTTTATTAAACACACATGCAGCTGGAGGTAAATGTCTGCGTGTTCATACAGGTGGACCTGACGAAGCGGCGAGTGGTGGATGAGGGCGAGGGGCGCCTGTGGGCGGAGTCCAGAGGCTTTCATTACTTTGAGACATCAGCACAGAGCGGCGAGGGCATCAACGAGATGTTTCAGGTATTTCTCGCACACATGCGCAGCTTCCTGTACATGTTTTTTTATGGACCGTGTTTCAGTGAGTGCCGTGTTCTCCACAGGCGTTCTTCTCCTCCATCACTGACATGTGCGAGAACGGCGGAAAGCGCCCGGTGTCGGAGGTCAGCGTCGGCTTCACCAAAGAGCAGGCTGACACCATCCGACGTATCCGCAACAGCAAAGACTCGTGGGATATGTTGGGAGTCAAACCCGGGGCCACGCGGTGAGTCGCCAGCATACAGGCCATCTTTTCAATAAAGTTGTTTTGTTTTTTTGTCACATTGTGTCTAATGCAGTTTACTATCTTTTCATTTCTAGGGAGGAAGTGAACAAGGCGTACAGGAAGCTGGCAGTCCTGCTGCATCCAGATAAATGTGTTGCCCCCGGCAGTGAAGACGCGTTCAAGGCGGTGGTGAACGCCCGCACCTCACTGCTAAAGAACATTAAATAACACACACACACACACACACACACACACAGAAACAACTGGACCTGCTGTCACTCAGACACAAACTGATGACGAACTTTATTTATTTATTTATTTCTGTATTTATTCAGCGTACGTGTCATGTGTGCCATTTTGCTTGCCACAGTGCGGTATGCCAACATAAACCAGTTTTAACTTATTATATGATATTTTAAACACTACACTGGAGAGAGTATGGAAGACGATGAGTGCCACACAAATGAAAAAGATACAAACTCTGTGAAAAACATTTCAAAATTAAATTATTTCAAATTTTTACTCTTTAAAGGTACTTGTCCTGTGTGTGTCCACTTAAAGCTGTCAAAAACAAATTAAGGGCATAATCGCTTAAACTGCATGCTGAATATTTAAAAAAAAAGAACTTTAAATTTCAATGTAGCAAAAACCTGCCAAATCCTCATCGTCAAAAACGAATCTGAAACCAAAATGGGTTAAACTTGTAGGCACGGTGGAGTTAAACTACCAGCTTTGCTTTCTTTGTGACTGGAAATAAACCCATCAAAATGTTCTTCTCTGTAATGTCGGGGTTAGTTTAATGTACTTCTCCTGGACAAATCAGAATACTTTATTAATCCCTTAGGAAACTATGTGAAACTCCTTAGCTATGTTCATGTCAATGTCAATTAGGTCACCCACACATGCTGCCCCATTTAAATTAATTTGTTTCCGTAAGTGTTTATATGGAGCTCCTCACATTTGTTCCCTGAAAAAGCATATCTCTACTCTCACACTACTAATTTCCTCCATTAAAATCACTCACCCCAAGTAGCTGACTTGTTCCCTTAACTAGTTAATTTAACCTGTTTCTCGATTGATTATTGGCCTAAAAGTTTAGTTTGTGTCCAAACTATTAATTTTATTTTTTTTTGTACATTGTTTGTTTTATTGACTTACTCCATTATTTCTCTGATTTGTTCCCTCCTACTGTGGATAAAGTGAAAATGTTAATGCATGCCCTTAAATCACTTTTTTCTCCAAAGTGCCAACCTATTCTTTTAACTCATCGAATAGTTCGCTGAACATATTTTTAAGTCTTGTTTCTTTAAAATCAATGGAATCACTTATGCATGTTTATATTTTCTTGGTTTGTTGCCTCAGTTCATTAATTTTTTTCCCTCAAACTGCCAAATATTGTATTGGTTCCCTAATGTTATTTGTTATTACATTTATCCCAAGTAAACTATTACCTAAAAAAATATATTTAAAAAATAAATAACTGATTTATTTCTTTGGCAGTTGATAGAAATTACACATTTTGTTAAGATTCAAAATTCCTTATTGGTTTTCTTATTAAGTTATTTTCATTTTAACAAAAATGAACAAAAATATTTCTTGAAGAAAAACAAAAACAAAAATTCAACATGGTCATCCCATCACCACATTTTAACGTGTGATTCGTCTTCCATGAGATGAGAGTCATAGTTGATGTTTACATGATGGTAATTAACACGATTGGTTGTTAAAAGAGAGACTTGTGCCCGTTTACTGACTTTGTATCACACAAAATGTCTTGTTAAAGCAGAAAAGTGTTTCATATTGTAAAGAACTCATAGGCAGCATGAATATGTTATCATAGTTTTATATTTTTACATATGTGCAACCAAACAATCCAGAAAGAGGTTCCACTTGTTGCTTTAATGTGATTTTTATCGTTATGCTTTAAAGTTCAAGTCAATTGATCTTGATTAGAACATATTGCAAATGTGGCTTTTTATCAACATTTTACTTCAGCCCTGTTAATACTCGACTATATTAATAT